GCCAAGTTGAACATAACACCAATAAATTTGGCAAGAATTTTATCGAATTGGGTAATGGTTATGGTTCACAAAGTTATATTTATAATGCATTTTGTGTACCTGAATTGAGACTTAGAACTTTAACAAAATCATGCAATTTAAAATTAAAATTATACCTATAAGCTAATATAGTCACATAATTGGACATCAAATGATTATTTAAAATTAATAAACATTTTTTTGAAATCAATCAATTATTGATTTTTCCCCGAGTAAGTTTGAAATTCTCCAAAAGTGTACAATTATTTATTTACTTGTTACAGACCGGAAAATGCTTTACTTTCTTCCCTAAAGGCTCAATTTTTTTTAATAAATGTTTAGAATTTGCACGCACTTTATAGAAGAAAGCTTTAATATTAGTAATTTTCTCATCCATTACAAATTAATGGATTGGGTAATGGTTGTGGTTCGCAAAATTATCTTTACAATGCATTTTATGTACCTGAATTGAGAATTAGAACTTTAACAAAATCATGTAATTTTAAATTAAAAATTATACCTATAAGCTGGTATTCTTACATAGTTGGAGATCAATAGATCATTTGAAATGAATAAACATTTTTTCGAAATCAATCTATTAATGATTTTTTTCGAGTAACTTTGAAATTCTCAAAAAGTGTACAATTATTTATTTACTTATTACACACTGAAAAATGCTTTACATTCTTCCCTAGAGGCTCAAACTTTTTAATAAATGTTCAGAATTTGCATGCATCTATTAGAAGAAAGCAATGATATTAATAATAGTCTAATCCATTAGAAATTAAATTTTAGACAAAAAAATTTGTTAGATCATGCTAAACATATTGGTTATTGCTGCATAAAAAATGACTTTGTGAATTGTTAAATTGAAAACCATAAGGAACTTTGTTCATATGATATAATTGCATGCACTTTGATGGACTAAGTTTTATATTTATTTTTAATTATAAAGTTCTAAAATATTAGTGGGCTGTCGGAGGAGTAAAAAAACAGAAATGTGCAGGTGAGAAGCCCATAGTAGCTCATGCACCGAGTATAATTATTGAGATAGAAAAAGTCGAAAAAAACCTTCCTTGCTTTGCGGGGAAAGCAGGAAAAACCAAATTGAACAGCTCCCGAGGGAGAACCTACATATATATGTTGGAGGATAGTGTTATCTTCGGTGCAAATTTTGTAAGTTTGTAAGACTGTAACCATGTAGAGCATCTAAGTATTTGTTGATTAGTACGTCGTCATCAAAATCCAAGAATAATTGGAGTCAATATTGCATTGTCGATGTAGTGTCTTAGCTTGGATAGTAATACTAGGCTGAATCACTACTAGAGACAAAGTTTACAAGGTAGAGCAAAATTGTTTCTCGGAATTGTGTATTAGAGGCGGAGCTATCATGGGTCTCCGGAGGAATTTTACAATGCTATATAGTATTAGTGCTATAAGTTTTTTTTTCTTTATGGTACAACTTGAAATTGTACCTTTACGTTATGGTACAACTTCAGATTGTACCTATACTTTTTGTAGAAATTCTTTTATGGTACAACTTGAACTTGTACCTTTATGTGATGGTACAACTTCAAGTTGTAAAGTTGTACCATAACATAATGATACAAATTCTTTTATGGTACAACCTAAACTTATACATTTAATGTTATGGTACAACTTCAAGTTGTACATTAAAGCACCAATACTATATAGCATAGTAGAAGGGCTCCTTGGGGATACGATCCTTCAATAATTTTCAGAATTATGTATAATATGTTGGAGATTTATGTTTATTCTAATGTTCAAATATAAAAGGAATTTTTTTGATCAAAAAAAATATAAAAGGAATTTATGCTAAAAATAAAAGAGATACAACCCATAAAAATTAATTGAAAAAATGTTATGAACTTTCTATACATAACAAATGAAGGGTTATACAAGGTTACTAACCATAAGATTATGCGACATATCCTCTCTCGTGTTCAAAATATACTTTTTTGATAATGTCGTGTTCAAAATATACTTGCTGCATCCTAGCTTCATGACTGTGGATGTCCATATGATAAACTCGTTCAATGAGCAAAGCAATTAATATGACCTGTATTAAGAGTATTTTTTAAGAGTGAAGTTCAATAATAACAAACACGAATTTAAGTATGAGTTTTGACTTTTTTTGGTTGAATAAACTTTTAACTGTTAAGCCATTCATACAACATTTATTTTTCAAATATTATACGTTTAATACCCAAATGAATGTTTTCTAAACATGAAATAAAATGGTAAATCAAATTACCGAATGTGCTATTTACCCAATTAAAATTGTATAATATCTTTGTGTTTAGAAAAAAATCCACAAATTTTAGTGTGTATATTTATAAGGAGAAGATGGTTTGATATTTAAAAAAATTGAAATAACAAGTGAGCATTACACGTGTCTATTTCATAGGAGTAATTTGAAGGATTGATCTCTTGTAATTAACAAAAAAAAAAAAAGTCTAAATGAGGTTAATATAAGAGAGATATTTTAACAACTCAAAAGCAAAACAAAAATAAAATCCAACTCATAAAATATATCCATTTAGTTAGTTCACTAAACAACCGCGTTCATTTAGTAAAACCATCCTAGATTACAGTAATGCAGCTTTCCAAATTTAGCAAAATCTTATGTTCTGTTCTGTTCTTTCTTCTTCTTTTTTCCCGGTCAGCAAAATTTATCCATAGATTGTGGAATGTGGATCATGATCCTTTTCTCCAACCACATTAAACCCCAAAACCCCTCTCTTCTCTATATAAAGCCACAGCTTGCATCCTAGATCATCAATACAAATCAATCACAGCAGTAATTAATCACTCTCTCTGTCTCTATTCCTCTGCTTTCGTCTCTTCCTCCGCTAATTCAATCCTCAAAACCAAAGAGCGAAAGTGACAATGGACGAGTCCGAAAAACGCATCTCGCCGCAGAACTTCCCATCGAAGCTCACTTTCTATGTCGCCATTTGTTGGTTCCTCGCCGCCTTTGGTGGTCTCATGTTTGGCTACGACATTGGCATCTCTGGTAAGTGACCTGCAAACTCGTCATTTTTATCGACTTAAATGTAATTTTAGAAACAAAGTTGTGATTTTTGTGTGATCTGATTTTGGGTGTTGTGGTGTTTTGAATGTACTGCGAAGGTGGAGTGACAGCCATGGACGATTTCCAAATCAAGTTCTTCCCCAAAGTGTATGAGAAGAAGCTCCACGCCAAGGAAAACAACTACTGCAAATACGACGACCAGTACCTTCAGCTCTTCACTTCTTCGCTCTACCTCGCCGCCCTCGTCTTCAGCTTCCTCGCATCCAAAGCATGCGACAAATTCGGCCGGAAGCCCACCATCCTCATCGCCTCCGTGTTCTTCCTCTGCGGCGCTGCCCTTAGCGCCTCCGCCATGAACGTCGCCATGCTCATCGTCGGTCGGATCCTCCTCGGCGTCGGCGTGGGATTCGGAAATGAGGTAATTCGATTCAATTACAAATTTCTAATCCCCCAAAATAAAATTCAATTTGGGGGTTTTTCCCCTTCTTCTAAAATTATATAAAATGTTTGTTTCAAATTTCCCGCGGTTTCCCAGGCGGTTCCCCTGTTTCTGTCAGAGATAGCGCCGGTGAACCACAGAGGAGCGGTCAACATCCTGTTCCAGCTCTTCGTCACAATCGGAATCCTCTTCGCCAACCTTGTCAACTTCGCGGTCTCGAAGGTCCACCCGTACGGTTGGCGAATCTCCCTCGCCGTCGCCGGCGCCCCTGCCGCCGGCCTCTTCATCGGCTCCCTCGTCATCTCCGAGACGCCGACCAGCCTCGTGGAGCGCAACAAGCTGGAACAGGGCCACAAAACCCTTAAAAAGATCAGGGGAGTAGACAACGTGGACGCCGAATTCAACCAGATCAGAGCCGCCTGCGAGGCCGCCAAGCGTGCCAAAGCCCCATTCAAGGAGCTCATGAAGAAATCCAGCTTCCCACCATTAATCATCGGAATCTCGCTCCAGATCTTCCAGCAGATGACGGGGATTAATGCAATCATGTTCTACGCCCCTGTTCTCTTCCAGACCGTCGGATTCAAAAACGACGGCTCCCTCCTCTCCGCCGTTATCACCGGCGTCGTCAACGTCGTCAGCACCGTCGTCTCTGTCGTCGCCGTCGACAAGCTCGGCCGGAAGGCCCTCCTCCTCGAAGCCTGTGTCCAGATGTTCATCTCTCAGGTAGCGATCGGGATAATTTTGCATCTGGATCTGCCGGCGACGGGGTCGCTGACGAAGGTGGAGGCCGGCGCGGTGGTGTTTCTGGTGTGTTTCTTCGTGATGGGCTTTGCGTGGTCTTGGGGCCCATTGGGCTGGCTGATCCCCAGTGAGACTTTCCCCGTGGAGACACGGGCTGCGGGCTTTGCGTTCGCGGTGAGCTCCAACATGTTCTTTACCTTCGTCGTGGCCCAGGCCTTTTTGTCCATGATGTGCCACATGCAGGCCTACATCTTCTTCTTCTTCGCGGGCTGGATCTTTGTGATGGGCCTCTTCGTCGTCTTCCTCTTGCCCGAGACCAAGGGAGTCCCCATCGACGCCATGGCCGAAAGGGTCTGGAAAAAGCACCCTGTTTGGAAAAAATTCATGGACTGATAAAAACAAAAACTGCACCCGCCATTGAAGAAGCTCTTGGAGTACATTTGTAATGAATCAGTTCTTTTTGTCTTTTTTGTCACCTCTATCTTTTAGTCTTGTGATAATGCTCTAGAGTTGAGAGTTTGCTTTGTGAGGAAAGTAGCTTGTCCATTTTGTTTGGTTTTATAGAATAACATATATAAAAAATCAGAGCAGAGTTTTAGTTTCGACTTCGATTTCCATCTATCTTTGTCTCTGTTTTTCTCTCTATCGCTACTACCATGACTTATTATTAGTACACTGAGAAAGAACTTTGAGAGAAGGCGGGGAACTAAACTAAAGTGTACACATTTCGACTGATGGGCGCCAAAATCATGCGAATCCGAGGATGGCCAAGGCGAGGAGAAGAGCTTTAGCGAGGGTGATGGAAGGCATGGAAGAGGCGGCGGTGTTTGGAGAAGGGCCAGGGGATTGTGCAGAGGGCAGAGTTGGTGCGGCCATGGGAGATGATGAAGGTGTACCGACGGTGGTGGTGGTGGTTGGGAGGACGTTGATGTCGACCTTTTGGCCGGAGTGGCAGTGGCCTGTGAATCCACAGATGAAGTAGTGGTGGCCGCGGGTGGTTATGGTGATGGAATCGTTCCCTGTGGTGTATGTGGCCGATGGTGCTGTGGCGTTGCAGGCCCTGTACATGGCGTGTGTCAATCTCATCACGTTGTGGAATTGTGGGTTGTACTCGAAATCTGCAGCACGGAGAACAAAACAGAAGGAATTAGCAACTATGATGTTAATCTCGGGTGCAAAACTAGGCTCTAGTGCATCAGCATTGTAGTCAAAGTATCATAGAGAATAAGAGAATCCAATAGCATCAGAAATGTCAGAAACATGAAACCCCAAAATGACATAGATTTTGTCTGATGGGGAATGTGGTCGGTAACGAAGTAAGCGTCCCTGAAGATGCTGGAGGTGAAGATCACAATTCACATGCCGGAATAAGAGTAACACCCGAAAAGCTATAGTGGTGTGTGGCTTCTTTCCACCAAACAACGTTGATCAGGGGTGTGGTTCTTCTTCTTTCATTTACAGCTTTCATCACGAATCATTATGCAAGGCACCAGCACAGTAGGTTGCGGGATAAGCAAGGTTTAGCTTTCAAGAGTCTTAATTCTTAAGGTGGGTGGTTGTTCACTTTCCAGATCCTCAAGTTCTGAGAGTGACATACAATAATGATCAAACTGGAGCATGCGAGTAAGGGTTTGAGTGAGAAGACAGATTGCGAGTTAGGAGACCATCAGAAATGGAGGTGGGTGGATGAATTGAATTGGGCTAATAATAAACACACTCATTTCAGGGAGTTGGAGACACTATTTTGCTCAGATCACTTCTATCCGCACGAAAGATCACCAAGAATTCTGGGATGAATTTGAAACCCACTAAATCTACAATGGGGGAAGGGAAGGCAGGAAATCCAAGTGTGCCATTGAAATTTATTAGAAAGCACTCAACATTCAGCGCATTCACAGAAAAAAGAAGGCAAAAGAAAACAGAGAACCCTAAAATTGCATGTAGACTCTCAGAGGAAATTAAACAAACAGGTGGAGTGGGAAGCGGAAAAGGGGAAAAAGGCCGAGACTTACAGATAACGTCGCCGAGTTGGAAGGTCTTGGTGACAGCCCACTGCTTGGAATCGAGGCTCCCAATCGTGGTCCAGCCGGCGGAGTCTCCGACCTTGTGAACGGCTCCAGCCTCCATGGGCACGATGAAGCACAGCCATTGCCAACACTAGCGCCAAAACAAAGCCTCTAACCGCCATGATCGAGAGAGGTGAATCGAGTAAACAAGGGAAGTGGGCACGCGGCGACAGAGTCTCTTCTTGTTCTTGGCAATAGTGAAGGGAGGGAGAGAGAGAGAGAAGTTTGTATGATTCGGAGAAAGAGAAGAGATGGCGCATTGTGTATTTGTGTGCCATTTATGGTGGCGGACTGGCGGGTAGAGTGGGTTTTGGGTTGGGTGGTCGCCGTCGTGTCATCATTCATTCTTTCAGTGGGGGAATGTTGCTGCTTTTCTTTTTCTTTCTGTTGTTCAGAAAATCCAGAAGAGAAGCCCATTTTGTGCGGAAGAATGACGCGATAATATGACACTTTTTTCACAATAAAACATAATAATATTCAAATTTAGATTTTCCTAACACATTTGCCTCAATAAGTTTTTTAACCATTACCACACCACCACCAGCAACAAGTGTAGTAATTTCTCCTGCATTACGATCTAATATTTTCATATTTTTATTTTTCCCTTCATTCGCCGCCTCCTTCGAGAACAAATACTCGACTATAGATGTTCATTCAATTGGAGGTCATATGTGGCGACAACTGAAATTCAAAGGTACGAAACCCCTACACAAGGAATTAAGTTCATTGATACCGCTCAGATCTAATAAGTAATATTGCCTTGGGTAATTTATGTAGCTTTCTAAGTTTTCACCAAATATGGCGATTATATTTGTTCTCTACAACTATACTCAAGGATGAGCCTAGGTCTCTTGTGGCTACAAATTCTTCAATGATATCAATGTATATTTCGGTCACGATGCACTGTCCGTAAGGGTTGAAGAAGATTGGCAAAAGAGTCAAATAACATGGCAGGCGTACATAACAGGGAGATCGATGAGGCGGCTGAAAGCATTAGGTGGAGTGTTATAGTCTCTTGATAGGAGAGAAAAGAGAAATTGGTGAACTGGATCAAGATGAAATGAGGAAGATTGTCAGAGATTGAGACGAACTAGAATTTGGAGCATTGGATTCTCCCAACTAAAAGTATGAATCTAAAGAGCAGTCTATGAAGTGGATAGAGACGAAGCGAGGGAGAGTGTTGGAGACTGAGCCGAACTCGGATTTGGAGCTAGCATTGAATTCTCCCCTAGCTAAAATTAGGGATTTGGAGGAGCAAACTATGAAAGAGTCTTTAGCATATTGAATTTGGGTCACTCTTTGATTTGCATGCCACAACGGTGAATGGTGATGGTGGTGATATTTGTTATACGTGAAAGATAAACAAAATTAAAATGAATGACTTGAATTTATAAAACTGTTTGATCCGACTTCAACTTTTGAAGCACAAATATGCTTCTAAACGATCATACATCCTTCAAAACTAATTTGTATGTCTAATGGAAAGAATCAGATAAAAATGGGAAAGAGTAAAAATTAATAAATGGTGGTGGGTTGGCCTCTCAAGTCACAGGGATTGGTTGGGTTGGGTAGGTGCACTTCACACCGCAATTACGTCTGAAATGGATTGGGGGATTTTGGAACACTTGAAAGGAAAGAAATACATATGCATTAGCAATTAGTGGGATCCGTTTGCTTGATGCTGCCAGCCAGCCAGCCAGTATGGCACGTACTAACCCAACAAACGACAATTGTTTACTTTAAGTTACAATTCTAAATTACCTAATCCTTCATTCTATGTTACCTTATTAAAATTTGGTCTATATTTGTATCAACGATAGGAGCCATAATGAGCATGGTTCGTCCCCCATACGTTTGCTCATTTGAAAATGATGTGGGTCTCTGCAACTACCTAGGTACTTTTTTATTTATTTATATTCACTTATATATAATCAGTGTGTACCTAGCAAGGAAACCTTAAACCTTAATATTACTTTGATAGTCATCCTCCACGCAGGTGTGATCCACCGACTCAAAGTATGTGGTTCCTCGGTTTTTAAAAATCGTCTATATTTAGTAAAATTGTACTTGTGGTCGGATCACAAAAATCATCTATCTTTAGTCGATATTCAGGTGTGAGTACATACAACACCCATGTATATAGGAAGACTATGCATTGGATGATACAATGCAGTTAAATTGCCTTTCCATAATATACCGATTGATTTTGCTAGATAATTTGTCTGATATTCATATTAACTCAGTTCAATGAATGATAATTAGAGATGACAATTTCGATATGACTCGTTTTACTTGTTTTGCGGCAATACGAACATGGTACTCTCCTCGATCAGACCTGGCCATTCATGACTCAAAGTATGTGACTCTACCTGCCTATTGTCATTCATAATGGTAAACAAAGAAGGGGTAGAGATAGGGATGGTAATCGGTCGGTTTCGGTTCAACCGAATACTGGTAAGCCGGTTACTCCGTTACTAGCATACCGAAGTTGGGCAAACGACAGCCAACTACCATTACCATGGGGATTGTCAGACCGGATACCGAATAAACGGTTAGGGAGAGAGATTCGTAGCCACCAACTCCTTTCTTAGGGAATCGGATTTGGAGATCTGGAATAGAGAGAGAGAGAGAGAGAGCCTACGCGCGAGCATGCAGTAGATTACGCCAGAGATTCAAATGGATCTGGAGTAATCCTGGACTAAAGAGGCGACATGCAAGCTGCGAGAGGATTCGATGTTAGGAGATGTTGGGAATCGACGTCTAGGTTCTCCACAACGGCAATGACTGCGACAGAGGAGTGGAGAACGGCAGAGATGATGATGATTTGACTCGCCACAGATACACCACGAATTAATCCCGACTAGAGCTCAAACATAAACTCTAGTCGGGTGTAGTTAAGGGCAAGTATGTTTTAATTGTCAAACCCGGGCCGGTCCATGTACCCCTACTTCAATCACTTAGTTTGTTATCTAGCAAACGTTCTTGGGTTTAAAACTAAGAAAACTATAAATGAAAACAAGCAAGTAAAGTAAATCGAGATTGTCCCAATGAGAGAAGAGTTCACCAGCGGCGGATCCAGAACACAGAAGAGCACTGGGCCGTATTTCATTAGATAATTAGAACCGTAAAAAAATAACGACTAGTTTTTTTTTACAATGTCAATTGTACACAACTGTATTTTAATTTAGCAAATGCATCAATAATAAAGTCAACATCCATACCAATAGTATACACTGTTTCAAATAAAATACTTGAGCAATCGGCGAGAATTCATCGCTTATTTTATTGCGCAAATCAGTTTTCACATGTTTCATTGTTGAAAAGGTTCCCTCTGTAGTAGCTGTTGGAACTAGCAGCGTCAACACTAGACAAATCAATCAACTAATCAATTTGCATTGTGTGTCCATCCCTATATCCACTAGCTGCTCTAGTAAATTACTAAATTTTCAAGGAAACAAACCACATATATCTTTTAGTCTTTTACGTTTTAGACTTTTAGGTTTCATTGTTTTTTTATACGAATAATCTTTAGGGCTAAAATTTCTAGGCTAAATCTAGATTTTTTTTATCGGAATCATTTTTCGAATTATACCCAATCTTATTATAAAATAACACGGGGTCAAATGTCTAAAATCGAAAAATTCATAAAGACTATACTAACACTGGATCCATAGGAGGGCTGGGCCGGGGCCTGGGGTGGCCACCCCCTGGATCCGCCAGTGGAGTTCACCCGAGTATTGCTCCCCCTAGCTACATATCAAGACCGCCCAAATTGAATGCAGATGTGTGGAGGTGTGTTAATACACCGTAGGAAGGCGCAACAAGCGAAGGAAACCTCACTCTCTTAATCAATCGGTTAAGGAAAACAATTAAGCTAGGAACCTTAGCTCTCTCAATCAATGGATTAAGGATTGCTACAATAAACTAGGGAGTCTAGCTCTTTTAACCTTTCGGCTAAGGAATGCAACAATAAGCTAGGAGTCCTAGCTCTCTTAACCGATAAAACTAAGGGTTGCAAGAATCAATCCCTCGGAACTTAATCCGGACGCCAAAGTAACACCCAAGTTAAAGTGCTAAATCGAATTTTGAGGTTTGCCCTAATTTTTCCTAGGTAGGTGACTCAATTGGCCAAGGAATCCAGTTTATTAAAGCCTCCTAAGAAAACGGGGAATTCCCTCTACCTAGATCAAATTGGCATAGCAATGAGAAATGAAGAGCACAACCCAAACATAATTAAAATACCTCAAACTTTGCATTAAACACAAACCCACACACAAAGCATTCAATTAATACAATCTATCACATATTTCAAGCTAGGGTTCACAGCACCCAAGTGAATAGGTAGGCTATTCCATAGCTAGGAAAAGGAACAAGAAAGAACCATGAAGAGATGACAATCTTCCTTCCTCCTTGCTTGAATCTCCATTGAGAGGTAAGAATCTTCACTCCTCTAGTTTAGGGCAAGCTCAATCTTTTTCTTCCTCCTTTGAATGACACTTTTTCTCTCTAGAATAGGAAGAGGAAACCTTAGGGGTCGTTTGCTTCAAGGATTTGGTACATGGATTTGGTACAAAAAAACCAACTATCAAGGATTTAGGTACAATCCATTGTTTGTTTTGTCAAAACATGTTTAGATAAATCTGTGGGTCCCACGGATTTGGTTTTTTTTTTTTTGCTCCAAATCCATGGGGCCCATGGTTTTACAAATCCCACCTTATACCCTGGGATTTGGAAACAAGCTAAAAAACCATGCTCTCAAATTACTACTCTATCCCCATTATTTTTCATTATTCCAACCTTGCCCTTTTTTATATTATTAGCAGAGACTCTTGCAAATTGTCCGCCCCAGCAACCCTAAACAGACAAACAAGAGCTGGTCGCGCGCGTGCTGGAAAATTGGCGCTCGCCACCGAAGAAGGGAAGCTTCCGTCGGCTGAACTTGAGCTTTGCCGCCGTCAACCTAAAATGGACGACCTAACACCCAGGTAAGCATGTCTCTGGTTCTTTTGCAAACTCCATCTGCTTCTTCGAGCAACCCTAGAGATGGATGATTCCCAGCTTCCCTTTTCGTGTCCTCTGAATCATTTTGATTTTGTGCTATTTCCCTTCATTTGTAGCACTCTTAGGTTATGATTTTCTGATTGGTGAGTTCTGTCTTAGTGGACAATTCAGTAGTTGTTTGTTTATAGCTAATTATTATCCCATTTTGTGTTATGTAAAGGAATGGCTAGGCTGAACAGGGTGCCTAATGCGCGCAACAGAGAAGCTTTGGCAGCAATTAGAGTTGTCTTAGGATTGTTGTTGACTTATTTGTCATTGTTGCTTGAACTGTTTGAGCTATTACTCTTGAAAAAGCGAGAGATTAGCAGACCTCCCAATCGACCTTTAGATAGCATATTTGATCATGAACACGATAGAAGATGTTATATGAGACGCATAATTGGGTTATCTGATACTCATTCTATTAATAAGGTTAGAATGAATCGTAACTTGTTTCGGAAGTTGTGTGACCTACTGGTTAGCGAGGGGGGGTTAAAAGGTACTGACAATGTAGACGTAGATGAGATGGTGATGATCTTTTTGATCACAATTGGCCACAACGCAAAAAACAGAACTTTACAGTTAGATTTTTGTTGATCGGGGCAAACTATTTGCAAAGTGTTTCACAAGATTCTTCGTGGAGTTCTTCGACTCCATCCCATCTTACTTCCACAGCCTGAACCTACTCCAGAAAACTCAGATGATGTGAACTGGAAGTACTTTAAGGTGATACAATATCTTCTTTATTTTGTGATGATGTAGTAGACTTGTTTACAAGTATATTAAAAGCAAACTGTTTTGTTCTTTAGGGTTGCTTAGGGGCACTAGATGGAACACACATATAAGTTCGTGTAAGGAATGAAGACCAACCTAGATATCGAGACCGCAAGGGGCATATTTCAATGAATGTGTTGGGAGTGGTTAATCAAAATGTTGAGTTCCTGTATTGCTTAGCTGGTTGGGAGGGTTCAGCTCATGATGGGAAAGTTCTTAGGGATGCTTTATTAAGGCCAAATGGGCTGCGAGTGCCAAAAGGTAATTTTGAGATAGTGTCCCTTGAAAATAATTGTGAATATGCACTACACTAGTCTTAACTGGTTCCGTTCATTTACTAGGAACTTACTATCTATGTGATCAAGGATATAGCAATTGTGAGGGGTTCCGAACACCATACCGGGGCCAGAGATATCATCCTAAGGAATGGGGGGGGGGGTTTAAGGCCAACAAAGGCAGAGGAATACTTCAACATGAAGCATGCTAGCGCAAGAAACTGTGTTGAGAGGGCATTTGGGATTAACAAAATGAGATGGGGCATCCTGAGGGATTCAAGCTGGTTCTCCCCTGAAGTGATGATTCAAGTTATAAATGCTTGTTTTTTATTACATAACTTCATCAAGAAAGAGCAAGGAGTGGATATATTCGAGAGGGACTATGAAGATGAAGAGCCTGAGCAATATCCATCAGCTTATGTTGAGCAGATAGAGGATGTTATAACAGTGGTTCAGCCTTCACACCAGTGGACTCAGTTTAGGGATAATATGGCAAAGGAAATGTGGATGAGTAGGAACTATAGAGGATAAAGTTGGTTGCCTTCTTAGCTGGAGTTGTGTGTCTTCTTAGCTGTTGTTGTTATTTGAGTGTTATTAACTATTGTATGCCACTCTGCTGTTTTTTTAAGTGTTGTACGGCACTCGACTGTTGTATTAAATGCTGAATGTTATGAAACCTGACTTGTTTTTATGACAGTCTGCTGGTTTATTATAAGTTGAATAATTTGCTGGTTTGTTTAATGGTTGAATGAGTAGGTGGAGGTAGTTGAAGGCAACTGCCCTTTTTAACTATTGTATTTATTGTTATTATATTGTATTTTGTTATGTTGTTTTTACAGGATGCCTAGGCCGAGAAAGCGTAAGATAGAAGTAGAAGAAGGAGATGGAGTAGGAGAGGGCATCCAAGTCCCTCAGCCTAAGGGGCCATATTTCTCGTGGACTGAAAGGTTGGATGCTATTCTCATAGAATGTATGCAGGAGTTAGTTCATAAGCACCAAGTTGAGAATGGCAATTTCAAGAGTGGATCCTTTACTGAGCTAGAGCTTATGATGAACAAGAAGGCCCCTGGTTGTGGAGTGAAAGCTGATCCAAACATTAGATCAAGGCACAAGAAGCTGAAAATGGATTTCATGGCAGTTCACTTGCTTCGTTCCAAGAGTGGAAAAGGCTGGGATGAGACCACATGTACACCAATTATCGATGATGATGTGTTTGAAGACCTTCTAAAGGTATGAAACAAAATTGTTGTATACAATCAAAGCCTAATCTTTGGTTTTTTATTCTAACTTATTGCGAATGGCTGTGTTTGCTCCCCTAGGTGCATCCTAACATAAAAAACCTGAACAAAGTGCCTTTTCCCTTCTACAACGAGCTTCTTGAGATCTTTGGGAAAGGTGGGACAGCAGCTGGAAGAGTTACAGGTGGTATTTGTGACGGACCACCATCTCCTAAAAATCTTCTGCATATGGAAGGCTTTGACACACCAATTGATCTAGATGACCAGAGATGCACAGAGATACTAGAGGACATAATCAATGAGGGCATTGATATGCAACATCCAACCGCCGTGGAAGCTGAAACACAAGCCACTCCAACTACTCAGAAACTGTCATCTAACCCCAAAAGTGGAGCTGGCAGAATCCATACAATTAAGAAAAGGGCTAAGAAGAGTGAAATGGCAACTGATTCAGCTATAGCTAATGTGTCCTCTCAACTTGGTGAGTTGAAGCCAATATTATTAAAAGCTGTGGAAGCACTTGGATCCATAACAAGTGAGCGAAGTGAGCGAGATGGTGACAACATCAAGCAGGCTTCCTTGATCAAGGAGATATGCAAGATTGTTGGACTCACGCGTGGCCAAGTCATTGATGCTGCTATGGCTTTAGTAGAAAATGATCCAAAGACTAGACTTTTCTATGCGTTGGAAAGCGATGAGGACCGATGCTACTTCATTAAGAATCTGCTACGCTGATTAGGCTTGTGTATGAACTAGTTGGTACTCTATTTTGCAGAACACATGTGGTATGGATGTGAAACTTTTGTTTTTGTGCAAGGTTAGATCATCCTAGATTTGGCTGTTGCAAGTGTTGGTGGTGGACACACTGTCATTTTGCTTAAGTTTCATTACATACCAACATGTGTTGTTAATGTTTCAAGGATTAGAGTTGTATTCCCAGAGTTCGTAGGAGTATACAAGCCGCTGAACTCTTTTGTAGCAGGCTGTATTTTGCAGGTCCATTGTGTAACAATGTTGATGAATTGCTCCATCAGTAAGCAATGTCAATGAATTTCCCCACCAACATGCTTGTTTAAAGAGATTCTCAGAGTAAAAGAACAGACATTGTTTCATTCCAATTCATTGACAACACAGTACATACTAATCTTACACATTCATAACTGAACTAAAAATAACATGGAATACAACAACATGATCTACTTCCAATAATTTCCTACTACTACCCTCTAACTCTAGACGTTGTACCCTCTGCTTGATGAGTTCTAGCTCAACAGCAAACTCGTTCGGTTGATGTTTTCCAGATCCATCTTTCATTACCATCCGTAACAAACTGCGTAGCTCCCTATTTTCAGATTCCAACATCGAAACCATTTCAGACAGCGGTGCAGTTGCTTTGAATACCGCAACTCTAATGTCAAACCACTCAAAGTAATCACAGGATTTGTTATCCTTTGAGCGACTGAACAGGGGGCATCCAAAAAACTTGCGGTTAGGGTTCCCAGCAGTATGAGAGATTCTTCTAGCCGCCCTCAGCCCACAATAACAGAGAACCTCTTCCTCCTCATAGCAGAATGCATCTGGAACTGTCACAATCTTCCCTTTACTTTCCATGAGATGACTGGATTTGTTAATTGAAATCCCCACTGCCACCAAAGGAGAAATCGAACTCAAAATGAAGAATCAAATGGGAAAAGCGAAATGGAAGATGGTTCAAACATACCTTCTTCTGAACCAGCTTCTTGTGCCTTGTCGTTTCCTCTGCTTCTTGTGCCTTGTCGTTTACCCCCAGCTTCTTGTGCCTTGTCGTCGCCTCTGCAGATCCGTCACGATTGGAGAAGTGATGGTGAAGAAGAGTCCTTCGTGGGGGCTTATGAAGAAGGAAAGAAAACAAAGGGTAATAAGGTAATTGAACCTTTTCAGTAATAAATCCCAAATCATCAAATCCATGATAAAAATAGCTCAACAAACAAATGATTTTCTCAAATCCATGGTGCTCAAAATCCCTAATAAATCCCAAGGTTTTTAATTAGCAAATCCATGACAAAAACCTCGTAATAAAATCCTTGAAGCAAATGACCCCTTAATCTCTCACTAGAAACACTCCTTTATTCTGAAAACTAAAACCCAAGAGAAAGCTCCCTTTTCTCCTTCAGCTCACTCCCCTTTTATACCCAGATCGACGGCTGTTCACGGTCTCAATTCACGGCCGTGAACATTTGTCCTGGACTGTGACGTCGAGGAGATTCGCATCGTTTCACTAAGTCACTTCACGGTCTGGGGCTTGAGTTCACGGTCGCTTGACCGTGAACTAACTAGACTCCAGTGAGATTGAAAACTGCTATGGACCGTCCTCACTTCACGGTCTCGGGACTTTGGACATTTATTCACTTTTCCCCGCATTTTGAACTCCAATTGACCCGAAACTCGTCTTCGACATTTCCACGTACACGTGCTAGGACCTAAAATGTAACAAAACAAGCACAACCTAGCGTAAAATATGTCGAGGGACGATGAAATGAAAAGTCAAAATATCAAGAAATGAGGGGTAAAGTGTGTACAATTAGACCCGAATCATGAACACAGTACTCTCTTCTGCATGTAGCGATGATGAATCCGGATCTGGCCACGAATCATCGGCGGTGCACCCATTTGAAGATGACAAATCAATGGCGGCAATCCAGATAAAGCAAATCATGCAAGAATGTGAGGGTATTTCATTCAAATGCTGGGAAAAGGTTGAGGAAAGATTCATTCAAGGTTGTATTTGTGTGGAGTAGAACAATGATTTGGGGATGAAGTTTTGATTGAGAGAGTTAGAGAGAGGAGGGAATTTTTTCTTGGCAGAGATGGAGAGAGTAGAGAGAGGAGGGAATAGTTTCTTGGCAAAGATGGAGGAGAGAGACGGAGAGAGGAGGGAATAGGTGGGTCTCTACGGATTGAGAAATAGAAGTGACGACGCTATATTCGGTACATTGTGTATATAGCGATTACCGTCGATTAATAACTGGGTATGGGTCGGTAATACCGGTGGAAAGATTTCGCCTACCATGTACCGATACTGTCGGTTAACGATTTAACTAGTAACTGCCGGTTATCGGTACAGTTACTGGTTAAACCGTTAACCGTCAAACCAGTTACCAACCCTAGTTAGAGTTAGAGATACATGGAAATGAATGTGTTGTTTGGGCTTCTGGCATGCAGCTAAGGATGGCAATATGGATATGCTCTATTGGATTTTACCCGACCCGCTCCGCAATGGGGCGAATTTCTGACCCGTTCCGAAAGAGGGTGGATCATGCCCCAACCAGTGAGAAGAACAGAGCGGATATTAATAATATTATACAACCCGCCCTGTCCTGTCCTGACCAAGCCCGCCCCGCCCCACCATGTTGTTCCCACTCCAGGCTCGACTTCATCTTCAATTAGTTGTAAATAACACGAAAAAAACACTTCTTATACAAAGAAAGTGGGCATAGCCCACTCTTTGCCTACTAGCATCAGTCACCGCAACAATCTCCTCTCTGGCGAATGAACTTGTGCCCGCCGCCGACAAGTCCGTGTAAGGGTAGGCCTCGATCAAGATGCCATCTTTGGCGTCCTTTCCTTTTCCCCCTGTCGTCGCTGGGTAAGGATCAGTCTCCCTTGAATATAATTATGTCACCATTTTGCATCTCCCTGGTTCTGAAGGCTTAAATGAAAAGCAAACTGACCAGTTTTATTGGAATGAATGAAAATATCCTGACCTGGCACGATCCTTGATATACAACAACCACTAAAAACTAACCAGCTAACATGGTGCAAATCTTGACCCAACTAACCAATAGACACAGATGGACTATTTTGACGCAAAATTGAACTAAAGAACCATAAATACAATTAACCAAACGACCCCACTTTTGACTTAAGAACCTTATTTCCAACTTAAACTTCCCGCCTCGTTGCTACAGCTTTCAGTCAATTGGAGGACTGCTAACAAATCCTCCCCTGAACTGAAGCCTCTTATACAACCACTTTAGTTCACTTCTCAATGGATGCCTTCAACATAAGTTCAAAATCTTCAGTCCTTGTCTATAACAGCTACTTCAACAGCATCACACATTCCAAATGTATCCAGCTTCACAGTCATCACATCATAGCTTTTGATTGCTAACACAAAAAATGACAACATCAACAATCTTGTGACCTTTATCTGCAGAATTGTTTCGGTTGAATCAAATTTTCCACGCTTGTCAAATAACTCCACAAAAACGTCCAACTTTAATGCCTTTTTCACAATGTTGGATATATGATCACAAAATCCAACCACTTTCCGTTTGTCAAAATCCCTCGGATGATGGAAACTAAGATTAGTGTGTCCACTCCTTTCTTGCACTATTGAATTCTTGGACAACTCAATGATCAAGAAATTGTCACACATAATCTTCATTCCTTGTGATGTATAATGGGCAGTAACCACAAGTTCAACTTCAGCGAAGATATCATTAGCCAGTGACTGCTCCTTGCAAGCTCCAGATATAATCTCTCTTGAATCTCGAGCTGCTGTAAACTTGGTTCCATAGACCATGGAAGACAAAAAATATTCCACTCCTTCCATAACTATCATCAAATCACAATCTGTTGCACCATCTTTATAGTTGATAAATGATGCTGCCAAAGTGATAAAAATAGCCACAAAGCTAGCTATAAAGCTAGTTGTGAGCATGAATTGAGCAATAATCAAACTGGTAATTAGGTATTTCACCATACTATCTGCAATTAGCCACTTCTGAAAGTTGCATACTAGTAAAAAAATAGTTGAAAAATATGCCGCAAATATGATCCAATATTATGTAAAAATAGCTACAAAGTTGACTAACCTTGTTGTAGAATCTGCTACAATAGGTTCACCAAATATATCTTTATATTTAGTTTGTCTTAACCTGGACCTCTCTTTAAACCTGTGGTAGATTGCTCGAAATCACTTAGTAAGCTCCTTTATCTTCACTTCATGATTCTTTGAATGATCATTGTCCTCCCTAATTTCATGTGTGCTCATATAACCAAATTTCCTGTACCTTCCTGGTCCCAATTTCTCAGTAGTTTCAACTTGTTTTCCTCAAATTCAACATCGCCAACCCTTGTACCTGGATTGGAAACTCTTTCTGGATTGGAAACTCTTAGAACAACCTTATTTCCCTGCTGGTGGCTAAAGATATCGTCCAGTTTAAACTTCATAACCTGTTTCTCATCACCACTGCTAACCAGCTTCTCACCATTGTTGTCATACATTACAGTATGCGTACTCAAGCACAACAAATCTGACTCTAGTTCCTTTAGAGTCATAATCTCCTCCCCTGCAACCACAAGCTCTAGTGGTTGCATAACATGAGCTACAACAGTTGCACTAAATGTTTATGTTACTGCGAGTGGAGTATCCTTATCAGACTCAGCATAGAAAACACTTACCAACCTCCCTTTCATGGATCACTACATCAGATTGCATCGTCTGTATACATTGAAATTCAAGTTCTGCCATACTATATGCAGAATTAACATGAAGCACAAACATATTGTTTGTCTTCCTTCTAATGCAAAACAAGAGGCCCTTTTCATCATGATATACTTTACAAACTCCATGACTAATAAGGAAACTTAATCCCTTATCCCACATGCCACATCTTTCCAATACTCAGCAAATATGTTATTATTCCTACGACATATAATGCATCATGAATAACTATGGATTTGTGTTCGATTTGCATTCTAATGGTTCCCCTGCCAGCCACTTGCAACTCAGCCCCATTTCCTAATCTCACAGTGCAACATAAAGCATGATCAATGCTAGAGAACTAGTTCTTGTTACCTGACATGTGATGGCTGCAACCCACCAGGTTCTGCAACCTTCCATTCCTTCACTGTCAGCATGATCAGCCTCCAAAGAGCCCATTAATCCCATCTCACTTCCTTTTTCATCTATCTCCTATTCCTCACAACACATCATCCTTCATGTCTCCATGTGATCTTTCTTGAGACGGATGATAGTTGGAGTAATAAGCATGCTGATTTGTGTACCATTCTGGGCACTCATGTCTATAGTGTCCAAGTCTGTGACACTTGAAACACTCCATAGACTCCTTGTCTTGCCTCTTCCTCCTCCACTACTTCCTCTTCCATCACGGTTTCCTCTTCCTCCAAACGCATGAGGAGTTCTGAGAGCATGGTCTTCCTCAACTACACCTCTCCTATTGAATTTCTATTCATGTACAATCAATGAACTCTGCAAGGCATCAATTGTTAGTAATTCTATGTCCTTAGACTCTTCTATTGAACAAACCAAATAATTGAATTTTTCAGTCAAAGTTCTTAAGATCTTTCCACAATATGCACATCATTCAGATCTTCTCCACAGCTTCTCATCGCCTTAGTAACTACCATGACTCTTCCAAAGTAATCTGTAATAGTCTCTTCCCCTTTCATTTCAAGCAACTCATAATTTCTTCTAAGGGCCTGCAGTTGAACTTTTTGAACTCTGGCACTACCTTGGAATTTCAATTTCATGGAATCTCAGAGTTCTTTTGCAGTATTCTTCTTAGTGATAGTTCTTAGCCTTTAGATCCCTCAACTTAGAATCCTCCAAAGATTTGATCTCTACTGCAGACAGCTGCTCTCCTGAAGCAGGCTCCTTGATTCCTTCACTTACAACCTGCCAATACTCCTTAGATCTAAGGAGATTCTCCATCAAGAGGCTCCAATGTTCAAAATCTCCATCGAATTTCAGTATGCAAACTCGTGCAAAGCTGCTCCTTTCACTCATCTTGAGATCTCACTCAAAAACTTACACAACCACTGCTTGACAACAGATTTCACTCACCCTTGGATTGATATCTTCAGAATACTCACACAACAATTGCTTTATAGCAGATCCCACTCACCCTTGGATTGATATTCTCACGAAAACTCTTGTGTTTGCACTCTATAGTCTGCAACTCATAGCAGAACTTCTCACAAATCACAATCACTCTTAATTTGCTTGAAAGCCTTTGGTTACAACTTGCTTGAGATATGATACCACAATGAAGGCTCAATGAAAGCAAACTGACCAGTTTTATTGGAATGAATGAAAATGACCATAAATACACGAGTCTGGCCACAAGATCCGGCCTTTTACCCACTACTCTAACTCCACTGCTATGATATACAACAACCACTAACAACAAACCAGCTAATATGCTGCAAATTTTGATCCAACGGAAATCTCGACCCAACTAACCAACAGACACGGATGGACTATATATTTTGACGCAAAATAGAACTAAAGAACCATAAATACAATTAACCAAACAACCCCACTTTGGCTTAACAGCCTTATTTCCAACTCAGACTCCCCGCTCCCTTGATGCAGCTATCAGTCAATTGGAGGATTGCTAACAGGTTCTACTTCCTCATCTAGCTATTCTCATCCGCTGGTAAGAACCCGTGTGTCTGATTTGTTTCTTTCTCTGTATTTGATATAGGTTTTTGGTGATTCTCTCTTGGTTGTGGAGTCGGCATCTAGCATGTAGAAGGTAGAGTCGACAAGCAATTGAAATGCGACAGGGCAGATTTTACGTGATCCGCGTGGGGCAATGTTTGGATCGAAAAGTGTCAACCCATTGTGAGACGCCGTCGGTTTGGCTGCTTCCGATATGGTTTTGGAGCCGGTTGGTGGCGGGATGAATGAGGTTAGGGTAGGGGGTCTGTTGGGAGATATACCCGAAATCGAAAAGCTATTTTTTTTTGTTCAAAATGAAAATAGGTGGAAATTAAAAAAATTAATTGAAATTTGCTGAGTTGGCAGTGACATGGCGCGTTGACCGTCCAAGTTAACGGTCATACGTCACGTCTTGCCAAATTAGTTATTTTGATATATAATTCGGGCCAGAATATTATAGATTGAAAAGATTGGCCATAATATTTATTTTGGTCAAAGTTCAGGCCATACAAATATATTAACCCATTAAGTAAATAGCAAGGGAAGGAAAGTGAACAATTTGCCACATTTGAACCAATCACATCAACATTTTCATTGTGTTGTTGATACCACTAAACTAACAATTTATTGATAAAATTATTTGAAAATGTAAACGAAATAAATGTTAATATCTATATCACTCCCATTAAAAATTCAGCACTTCAAATTACTACTACTTAATGCGATCACACAAAACAAGTTGTAGGAGTTCACTCTACACCTAAGAATCAATATGACATGATATAAACATTACCTCAATTATAATAAACTAAGTAAGCCTTCAAATTCCATATAAAACAGAAGAAAAATTAAGAGCACATAAGTCAATAGTTTCGATATACCTTTTCGTCATCAAATAAATTACACATGATGATCATCAGCTCACTCTCAAGTCACCTATATCCCTCCAAGACCCTATATTAATATTACCAATAATACCATCTCCTTATAAATCAAACATATTATTACCACACCATCCTTTTCAGGACTTTCCTCCCCCACTTCACAAATTTTTACCGTAGTCCTTTTTACCACTGTAGTTATTCCCTGTCCCACACTTTGTCTGTCTAAAACAAACACGCAACGTAACTAAGAAGAATAGTCAACCCCATTACTACCATTCCCCTTGCCGTTGACCCCGACTCTTCCCTCCATCTCCACGTCACCATCCTCCTCCACAAACCTCTTCCACAGCCAGTGCTGCGCCCAAACCTTGTCCGTCATCTCCTCGATCGGCACGTTCTTCGTCTCCGGCACCAAGAAAAACACGAACACCGACATCACCGCCACCCACCCGGAGAAGAAGAGGAAGATGCCGAACTTGAAGTGGCACAGCATCGAAAGGAAAGCCTGCGCGATCACGAAAGTGAACAGCAGGTTGACGCACACGGTGACGCTCTGCCCCGCCGACCGCGTCTCAAGCGGGAAAGTTTCGCTCGGGATCAGCCATCCCAACGGACCCCACGACCACGCGAACGCCGACACGAACGTGCACACCATGATCACCACCAGGGCGGCGAACCCCTTCCCGAGGTCGTCGGAGTGGTCCGTCACTTTGATCCCCAGCACCACGGCGATCACCACCTGCGCCAAGTCAGTAAAATACGGTACGGGTGAGTTACGTGTAGTATAAAATATGCTCCAGTTCGTCAATAGTTATAAAATATACAAAATTAAGTGGATTGAATATGATCCATGGATTGGCTTGGTGTATCCATGGATCAAGTGGATTAGATCAAATTAGTTAGTGGATTCATGGATCAAAATGACATCTAAATATTGGATCAATATGTTAATTTTGGAAAATTTAGCTACTAAAATGTCATAATAACAAATTTTTGATACCAAAACGAAACTTTTCAACGAAAATTTTCTCATACAAATATTTTAGGTACTAAACTGTAATTTGCCAACAAAATTGGAAATATCAAATAAACGAGAAAAAAAAATGAAATGACAATAACAATAACTACGGATAAGAAAATTTTAAATGCAACTAAAATACGTATGGATTGCTATATATACGTGTACTAAATGAAGTATTTACAGACCTGGGAGAGGAGCATCTGGACGCCGGCCTCGAGTAGGAGCTTGCGGCGGCCGAGCCTGTCGACGGAGTAGATCGAGACGACCGTGGACAGGACGTTGACCGCTCCGGTGATGACGGCGGAGTAGAGGGAGGCGTCGCTGCCGAACCCCACGGTGTTGAAGAGCACGGGGGCGTAGAACATGATGGCGTTGATCCCCGTGCACTGCTGGAAGATCTGTAGAGCGATGGAGATGACGAGCGGGGGCCGGTTCTTGCGCTTGAGGAGGTTTCGAAACGGGTGCTTCACTTCCTTGGCGATGCGGCTGGCCTCGACGAGCTCGAGGAACTCCGGCTCGATCTTGTCGGTCCCCCTGATTTTGCGGAGGACGGCCTTGCCCTCGTCCAAACGGCCGCGTTCGATGAGGCTGTTGGGCGTTTCGGAGACGAGGAGGGCGCCGACGGTGAGGAGGACTGCAGGGACGCCGGCGAGGCCGAGGGAAAGCCTCCAGCCCCATCCGCCTTTGATTCTGCGTGTGTGGAGTGGGTTCGTTAAGTTAAATGAGGAGGTTTGATTTTAATTGTGTGATTGGAAATGATAAATTACGAATGCGGATGGATTATAGGAAGGTTAATTACTTGGCGGTGCCGTAGTTGATCAAGTTGGCGAAGAGGATGCCGATGGTGACGTTGAGCTGGAACAGTATGTTGAGCGCTCCACGGATTCGGGTTGGTGCTATCTCTGATAGGAAAAGTGGCACTGCCTGTAAAATATCATACACACAAGATATTATGATTATTAGAATTACGGTTCGTGTGGTTAATATTAATTTAACAAGTAAACTTCATATAATTTTTGGATAATTAGACAGCTAATTAACTTGGTGGAGAACATGGGCTACTAGATTTGAAGTTAAATTGGGGCATGTCTTTTCCTTCAGTTCTAGGTCGCAATCAACTAGTTGTTGGAGGAAGTTTTCATTGCTAACTACTCTTTGTCCATGTGTGGGGTAGGGTACATTAGGGTCCAAATTTTCCTTAATTTGTACTTATTATATATAGTATTCAAACATGAGCCACATGGACTGATGGACAGGAAATTAATTAAAGCAGTTGGAGAAATATCTAACAAACCAGCCCCCCACTTTACTTGTATTTTAAGAAAGAAAGAAAGAAAGAAAGAAAGAAAAAAAAAATATATATATATATATATATTGGCAAGTGATCCTTACATCATAATCAGTTGCCAGTTGGGTCCAAATTCAGTGATAACAAAAAGATATTGTTATGTATAAAATGATTAAATATAGACCAAGAAAAATCAAAGCAAAGTGATCCTGTCCTGTGAGTGTGATAAAAGTCAGTGACGGCCCCATTAGTCTTAAAGCAACAGGAAAGATGTTAACAACACATGTAGGTGATTAAAGTACTCTGTCACGAAATGTAATTATTAAGTTTAAGAGCTGTGATAAATGATAATCAACAACTTAATTGACATGTCATTTTCACAGACGGCCCTGAACTTAAGTCTAACCATAGACCAACTGTTATATGGTTTTAATTTTAATGTTTTATTGGTTAACGCCAAGTCACATCAAGAGACCTTAAATTTCTATATTGTGTACTTGTGTGCCACAATTGCATGGGAATGAAAGTTTTATTAGTTAAATTAGGAGAATATCCATTATTTAACTTTTATAATTTATGAAGAATTTTAATTAGACTTTTAACAAATTGGTTACCTCCGAATGACATCATAACTCTTCACAATTCAACATATATCAAAATAAATTGGCACAATTTACTTATTTTCTAGTACAATTTATTAACGAGATGTAAAAAATAACAAAAGTTTACGATATACACTACTTAAAATCTTGAAACGCATAATTATTTTTCTCGTTGATCACGGTCTATAGGAACCAAGCTATCTACGACTTTTAACCTTGTTCGAGTGAATCACCATTTATATATATATTCTAGGTCCTTTCTCGTATACTGTGATATTGCTAGTTTGTAAGCACATTAACTGATACTTTTATGTGTTGTTAATTTCATTAGACTAGAAAAATGTACACTAACATAGACTTAGTATATCCCAATTAATCATAACCCCAAAGATTGTTGGGAGAAGAAAAAAAAAAAACATTTCCGTGGATATCACCTCCCTAGGAGTAGGAGGAAGCTGCCCTTGCCAGAAAATCAGCCTTGGAAGTCTGACTATTGACTTTTCTGGAGTAGCAAATAATAATGGAATATAAGAATCTTAGCTTGCGTTCATATTTAATTAGTAGAAAAACTAAACCGGCGTTTACCAGACAAAAAGACCCACATGACATGTGTTTCTCCCACTGATTTTGTTTTTTTTTTTTTTTAATACGTGTCCATCATTCCCAAGTCCAACCAAGAGTACTGATCAAAGCATTACGGATAAGTTTGAGATAAACCATTTTACAGCAGTGAAAATAAATTTTGTAAAAATAATTACGTTTGATATATAATGATATATTTGTTGAAGGAAAATCATACTATTCACTGTAACTTATATATACGAAACATTGGAAACCTGTAGTAATTAGTTACCTGATTGGCGAATCCGACGCCGCATCCGAGCAGGATCCGCCCGACGATGAGCATGGCGAGGTCCTGAGCGGCGGCGTTGAGCACCACCCCGGCGATGAAGAACAACCCTGCGATCAACATGGTCGGCCGCCTCCCCAACGTCCTGGTGGTGTAGGAAGCGAAAAAAGTGGCGGTCAGGCCGGCCAGGTAGAGCGAGGACGTGAACAACTGCAGGCCTTGGTTGTCGTACTTGCAGTAGTTGCTATTGTTGAGCGTGGGGTCCTGCGTCTTCCTCGCCACCACCGGGAAAAACTTCTCCAGAAACGCCGGCATCGACGTCACTCCCCCTGCAGGAACAGGAGAGTTGATGATTGATTACGTACGGTCCAGGGAGGGAGGGCAAAAAGAAATTGAATTTCCAAAAGTGACCCTCCGCATTTAAGGCAGACCATTTATCCATTGGTAGGTGGAAAAGGGGTTCATAAATGAATTATATATTATGGGTATACCTGAGACACCGACGTCGTAGCCGAACATGAGGCCGCCGGTGGCGGCCATGATACAAGACATGATGACGATCGGAGTGATCTTAGCCTCGAACTCCGTCCCTCCCGCGGACGAGACGAACCCTCCGCCTGCCATGGCTTGGCTGAGAGCGGTTTGTCGTCTCAGAACTCTAAGTGTGATTCTACAGAAAATCTGTTTCCGGTGAGCAATGAGATAATAGGACTGATCAGGAGAAGGAAGAGAGTGAATAGAAATGGAGACTTGAGAGGGGTTTATATAAGGGGAGATCAAGCCAAGTGTAGAAAGAGAGAGATGGAAAATGGATATAGTAAGAAAATGTGGGGTATCGACCTTCAGGATCCCTCCACGTGGCGTTTGACGATTATGTATTTCCAGCCGGATTCCTTTCTTTCCGTTTTGTTTTAAACAAAGAGAAAGGATCCAAGGAAATTATTAGCATGTAAAGTCCATAACGACGACGAGGACGACGGCAGGTCGGCCGGGATATATAGGGGCAAGTCAACAGACGACTCTCAAAGTAAAAGCAAGAAGATTCATTCATTCTTTCATCGGAACCACAAAAAAGAGGACGACGAACCAAACTCTGCAAAGCTTAAACAAGTAAGACTAAACAAACCAAACCAGTCCAACGGTCACACCAACAGTTTGACTGACCAATCAATTTAATTCTCATGTATGGGCGCCCAATAAATTTTACGTTTACATTAGTGGTGGATCCAAAATTTTCCAATTTACAAGCACTTGGAAAACCTTTTTCAGAATTATTTGATGATGCAGCAGGGGCGGAGCTACTCAAAGAGTAGGGTGGGCCCCGGCCCACCCGGGAATAGTCACGGCCCCTAGGACCGTAAGAATTTTGGATAAAATTTGGATAAGTAGTGCTCGACCTATACATTATATCATATCATAATTATCTAGTCTAATGGTAGTTAAGCTAAACTTTTAGCCTAAAGGAAACAGGTTCGATCCACAAGAACCTCATTTTTGCTTTAAGGATACCCACTCTTTTTCATTCTTTTTGTTACTTTAATCCAGCTACAAATGAAAAAATCAACCTCTGTTTAGTTCACTTGGGATTTATAGCTCTTTATACAAACTATATGATCTATTTTTTATCTATGTCGGAATGAACATAATGATTAGTGTCAAAGGAATTTTATTTTGTTGTTAGGTTGATTTGTCTTCTTCTAACTCTTACAAATTTCTAAAGCTATATGTGATGGTGCATGTTTTTAGGTATAAAGATAGTGAAGAATAGATTGTGAAACAAAATAAATGATGAGTTTCTTGTTAATGATTTATTTATTTATATTGAAAGAAAGATAGCTAAATTTTTTAGTTCATATGCTATTTTGAGAGATTTCAATGATCTCAAAGAACGTTGTAGAATTTAAAACTAAATATTTAATTTTTAATTACATTTATCTATTTTCGGCCCACCCGGTCTCGAAATCCTGGCTCCGCCCCTGTGATGCAGTGTTTCAATTATTATTTCCATTTTGGGATTAGCTCTTCTTTGCCCTTGTGAAATCTCCCTATTTAATTAAGAAAAATCCATATTTTGATGAATAGATCATTTCTTAATTCCAATATAATCTTTTTGCAAAAATAAAAAAGTGTTAGCAGAAAAGTCAACCTGCTCTTAAAACATGCATTAATTAGCAGGATTAGATTGTACGTGTTTGGTCTAGTGGAATTAGCCTTATTCTTATCCTTATTATCCGGTTGTTGTTCCCCTTTTTCCCACGCACCGGCTGGCTTAATGATAATATTATCTTAAGTTCCACCTTCGGACATACTCTATACAGGTGAATGCTTTTTCCCTTTTTGCATGTATAAGTTAAATATATGATATATTTACTTAGATTAAATCTATTTATGTATTTCCACTGCAATTAATTGTATGCAGTAATTATCTCGAACAATTAATAATGAACGTACGAGTTATTTTTCATTTTCTGGCGTGATGTGATCTTAGTTGATTAAGATGGCTAACTGATGACGTGTATGTGCTGGCCTGTGAGTAAATCAAATGATCAAATGAGAAAAACGTACTATAAAGACGATATGAGTTCACCAGTGCATGCTTAAATTTTCGAAATTCGATGTTAACAATTATCTTAAAGAAAAATACGTTATTGTAGCTTTGTATGATTGCTAATAATTAATCACATTTTGTTTCCTTGAAGTCCAAAAAATACTTTATGAAAAATCTTCTGAAAAGGAAATAAAAGTGGTCCAAATTAAAATTTGTCCATTTTTCTTGCTCGTGTTTGTTTGCGTAGGGCTACCTAAAAGCCCCCACTGGCCACTACGTACACGACTTGAGCTTAAAGAAAAGAAAAGAAAAGAAAAGAAGCCCTTTTCACATTCAGCTGGCACGCAGCTTTATAACTTCATACGCACCATCCTCTTCTCTTCTCTTCTCTTCTCTTCTCTAGTAGGTGTTGAACTTGGAATTCAACTACTGTGTACGTAGCTATCTAGCAACCAGCTGCACTACTTGGAAAAGTAAACGGCATGCAAATTGCAATGCAATGCCCCTTTCTTAATTTGTACAAGGTTAGTGTGCACCCGGACGTACGCTAGTTTGAACCCTTCTAATTTGGATGCGTAATTTTTTCCCCCATTGAACACATGGAGATGTAACCAGAAGCAACAGGGGAAGCACGTACCATCTGTAACCTGTTTGCTTAGCTTTCTGTCCGTTAGGATTTTGCCTGATTGTTCTAGGCAAAACCTTTTTGTTTCCTTTGGTTGGTTGCTTGTGACGGGACAAGACAGCTTTCAAATTCAACGAACTCGCCCATATATAATGTGCATACTAGCTAAAAGAAGCAAAGGATTTTGTATAGCTCTCGTGTTTGTTTCAAACTTCGAACCTAGCTAGCTAGGACATGGTTCCGTGATGGGTGTCTCACTCTTACATCGCCAGTGAAACAAATTAAGCTGATTGATCTTTTAAGTTATTCTACTAACGGATAGCTCTAACAAACTTTCTAATCTTACCATTGAACGACAGCCAAGTTCACTATTACAGACTAATTACAAATTCTAAATCGTCAAACCCAAAACCCTGCTTATTATGATGCAATGCAATTGTTGAATCGAATCGTGTGAAAGGAAGCCCGATCAACTCATGATGGCCAATTGAGCAAATTGTCACCTTCTTCGTATGTTCTTCATCAGCAAAGTGCATCCTCTTCATTTGACTCCATTCCTAGCTCAACACTTCTTGTTCCACATGCTCATCAAACCGACGAGTATATGTCATGTACCTGTCAAGCTAAACGAAAGAACAAGAACACAAGGTTTAACGTGGTGTTCTTGAGTATCAGGACTAGTTCACGAGAGAGGCTTAACCCTCCAAAGTCAATCTTATATATTAGTTACAGAAGCAGGTGTACACGAAACTATATATAAGGTTTACGTACAACCTTAATGACTAAGGCTTATACAATTACAAAATGGTACCTAAACTTTTAATACCCTCCCTCAAATTGATGTTGAGTGCGCAACATCAATTTGGATGATAGGTATCAATGTATGCTGGAAGCCAAAGCCTTAGTCAAAACATCTACTGTTTGATCTTCTATTGACAGATAGCTCAACTGTATTCTTCCTTCTGTAACCAGCTGTCTGATATAATGTACATGAACCTCTATATGCTTCCTGCGATCATGGAGTACAGGATTAAGTGCAATCTGTATGGCACTCGTATTGTCACCATACAACCTCATGGGTATTGTGGACAAGTTACACCCAATTCCTCCAATAATCATTGTAACCAAACCAATTCAGAACTCACTTCTGACATTGATCGATACTCTGCTTATGTTGATGACTTGGAAACACGATCTTGTTTCTTACCACGTCAGGACACAAAGGACTACCCAACCATGACACACTACCCTGAAGTTGATCGTCGTGTATCAAGGCATCATGCGTAGTCAGTAGGGCTGGCTATTTGGTTCTGGACTGTTTGGTTTTACTCAAAACCGGACCGTATAACCCGGACCGGGACTGAACTGGGACCGGATAGCAAACAATCCAATCTCATATTCGGGCTTAGATTTGAGGTAAAAAAAACCCGGATAAGAGACCCCCAACACCTAAAATCAAGATCAAATTGGGACCGGACCGAATCCAGACCGGACTGTATCCAATCCAATCTTTGGTCCTTATATTCTCGAAAAGACCGGATTGGGACCGGATCAATTTGGTCCAATTTAACCGGACCGGACCGTATAGCCACCCCTAGTAGTCAGCATCTGCGAACGCCTCAACTACAGCATCTCCAGATGAGGGAAAGAAAAGACCAACATCCTTTGTCCGCTTAACATATCGCAGTATCCTGTGAACGACATCCAAATGTTGTGCTCGTGCCACTCCCATAAACTGACTTACGACTTGAACTGCATAAGAAATGTTTGGCCTCGTGTGAGTTAAGTAGATCAGACTTCCTACCAGGCTGCGATATAGAGACTGATCTTCCATTAAATCACCACTATCTCTAGTCAGTTTGAGATTCTGCTCCATTGGGGTGGCGCACGCTTACAATCCGCATAGTGTGCCATTTCCAGAAGATCGACAATAGACTTCTTCTGCGAAACCAGAATACCTTGCGATGATCTTTGGACTTCCAAGCCTAAGAAATATGACACATTGCTAAGATCTTTGAGATTGAAAGCCTTGTGAAGTGACTTCTTTAATTTCTTGATACCTTCTGTATCGCTCCCTGAGATGTTCATATCATCTACATAGATCAATAATACCACAACACCATCTACTGCATTACGAATAAACAGAGATGGGTCGTTCTGACTTTGATCAAATCCAAGTTGCACAATGACACTGTGAAATTTCTCAAACCATGCACGAGGTGCTTATTTGAGACCATACAGTGAACGAATCAATTGACATACCATATCCGTTGGACCCTTCGTGTACCAGGTGGTCTCTCCATGTAAATCACCTCCTTCAAATCACCGTGTAAGAAAGCGTTCGTCATGTCAAGCTGAAACAACGACCATCCTCACATAGCAGCCACGACAAACACACAACGAACCGTTTGCATTTTTACCACCGGAGCAAACGTTTTGTTGTAATCAATCCCATACTCATGGAGAAAACCTCGAGCAACTAATCTTGTCTTGAACCTCTCTATCGTGTCATCAGGATTCATCTTCACTGTGTATACCCATCAACTACTGGTGACTTGCATATCTGGAGTTCTCGGCACCATCTTCCACGTATTGTTCGCTTCAAGTGCATTAGTTTTCTCCTGCATTGCCATTTCCCATTCCGGATGACCAACAACTTGAGAGTATGTGGCCGGGACGAAGACAGGTGTTGTTGTAAATCCCACATAATCATGGAGCCTTAATGGTGGTTGACCCAATGTACTCCTTAAT